AAAAAAAAAAAAAAAAAAAAAAAAAAAGAATTAGACTGGGACTAGGCTTTCACCAGCAACTCTGTGACAGAAGGCCATGGGGCCACACATTGGGGGCAGCAGAATTCCAGGCTGTTGGTGACGCCGTCTGGGGAGAGGTCCCTCCTGTCCCAGGCAGTGACACAGAGATGGAGGTATGGCTCTGCATGAGACTGGAGGGAGACCCCCCTGCTGGCCTTGAAGAGGGAGTCACCACGTTGTGAGAGGGTCATCAGAGGGGCTGCATGGCCAGGACTTGAGGACACCTCTAGGGTGAAGAGTGACAATGGCTATCAGCCAGCGAGGAAAAAGAGGCCTCAGCCCCACAGCTGCAGGGACTGAATTCTGCCAACAGCTGGGTGAGTCTGGAAGGGGCCCGGGGCTTCCAAGGAGAGGCAGGCCCGGCCATCATTGATTCCAGCCTTGGAGATACCCTGAGTGGGGAACAGCTGAGCCCTGCCCAGGCCCTGACCCCAGAACCTGAGAAAATAAATGGGTGTTTAAAGCAGCTAAACTGCAAAGTTTGTGGTAATTTATACACAACGTGTTCTTGTTTTTGTTTAATTCTATTTATTTATTTGAAACAGAGTCTTGCTCTGTCACCCAGGCTGGAGTGCAGTGGTATCATCTTGGCTCAGTGTAGCCTCCACCTCCTGGGCTTAAGTGGTCCTCCTGCCTCAGCCTCTCGAGTAGCTGGGACTCCAGGTATGCACCACCACGCCCAGCTAATTGTATTTGTTTTAGAAACAGGGTTTCACCGTGTTGCCCAGGCTAGTCTTGAACTCCTGGGCTCAAGCCATCTGCCTGCCTTGAACTCCCAAAGTGCTGGGATTACATGTGTGAGCCACCATGCCCAGCCACACATACATTTTTAAATCTCTGTAGCTGCAAAAATAAATAAATATTTAACATGACAGATCAGCTGTCACCAGGCCTATCTTCCCACTTTAAACAACTGGGACACTGGGTAGAAAACAGGGCACAGCTTTCGCTGAGTGGACGATGAGCCCATGAGCGGTGCAGGGCCAAGGCCCTCAGAGAAGGCCGGCACGAGGTGAGCCCACTCACTGCCCAGCTGCTCTCCACGGGGCCTTCTGGATCCCTGCAGGGAGGGCAAGCCACACAGAGCATGGCGGTCTTGCTGTGTGGAGGAGACAAAGGTTGGAGTTTGGAGAAGCTGAAGAGGCTGAAGTGGGCTTCATGAGGCACAGTTGCTGAGAGGAGGGGATCCTGGGATCTGTGCAGAGGTCCCCTAGAAGCTGCGGCTGACAGCCACATGCAAATATGCAGGAGAAGCCAACATGGGCTGGGCCAAGAGCAGCTCATGGGAAGGAGCAGCCAGCAGGGAGCTCCATGTGTTCGTCAGGGCAGCCGGCCTCGGAGAATCCTTGGCGCTCTCTCTCCAGGGCACGCAGCGGAGACCCGGGAGTCATGATGCTGAGTCAGCCCTGGTGAAAAGGCTTCTCTGGACCTGCCGGACCTGCTCTCGCACAGATTTTAAACAAGTCTCTAAAGGATCAAGCTGCCACGTAAATACTTAGCTGCAGCCAAACAAAAAGCAACACAACAAATCCAGACACTTGCCAACATCATATTCACAGTGCGTGACATCCAGTGAAAACTTACCAGATGAGCAAGCAAGTAGAAAAAAATGTAGCTTTCTCCAGTAGAAAAATCAGCCAATGGAAACAGTCTCAGAA